GTTGGGCCTCACTGCAGCTTGCATCCTGACTCCCCTCCCTGGCTCCTCTCCATCCTACTCCCTCTGAACCTGCATCTTCCCACCCCGGAGTGGCTCCCCAAGAAGCCGAGCATCCCCAGCAGGGTGGGGTTAGACAATCAGGTGGGCCTTGTGTGCTGGGTCCCTCCTGCCCCTGGGGTACCTGGGCAAGGGTGAGTCCTTCCTCCTGCTCCAGCTCCTGGCTTAGGGCCAAGAAATCCATCTGTGGATCTGGGGAAAGCAATTCTTCCAGGAACCGGGGGTGAATGACGGCCTCCACCTGGAAACAGAAGGAAGAAGGCGTGAGCTTCCTGGGCAGGGAGTAACCCGGAGCCAAGGACACCCAGAAGAGATGCAGAAAGCTGCAAGCGCCTCGTCCCCACCCTCGTGGGGCTGTCTCATATCATGGCGACCACCAGCTACAGACACAGACCGCAGACCTGGCAGCATACGCACACACAGACAGAGACACACAAACCACACACAGACACACAAACAGACCCACATACGGCACAGGAAAAGACACAGACAAAGCATACACACTCCACACTCACACCCACACAGACACACAAAGACACACGGTAACAAATCACAGACACAAACACACAGCAACACACAGACACACACAGTCACGTCCACAGACACTCAAATCCATGGAAATACACGCACTGCTGAGTAACTAAGGAACAGAGCTTAATTCTAAGGACCTGGGAGTGCTACCCCCTGGAATCCTGCAGACCCCAGCACTCCAGGCCAGCCCACCTTGGTGACAAAGTCTTTCTGGGAACACAGCTTGTCAATGTAGCTCAGGAGGCCTGGGTCTGGGGGTGTCCAGTCCTCTTCCTGTGGCTGCTTCACTTCGCCCTCTTCCCGTTGTTTCTCGGGCTCCCCTGTGGCCCCGAGGGGAGGCCCCAGCAGCTCCTCCATGATATCCACATACTCCTGCACCACTTCTGGAGGAATCTCCTCGGGGACCTTGGTCTCCGCTGGCCTCTGGGGCCTGGGTGTTGGCAGGCGGGCCTTGGTCTCAGCTCGCCGGTGGGGCCTGCGTGGTGGCAGGCGGGCCTTGGTCTCCGCTGTCCTCTGGGGCCTGGGTGGTGGCAGGCAGGCAGTCGGGGCCTTAGGGCCGGCCTTGCTGGGAAGGTACACTGAGGCAGAGAGGGAGGAGGATGGGTGTGGTGAGGGCCACTCCTCCTGCCTGCACCACACAGGGGAGGGCAGGGCTTGGGGATGTGAAGTAGGTCCCAGGTGGGTCAGGACCACCTGAACCGCAGCACCCCCGGAGGAGGCAGGAGGGGCACATGTGAGACAGCATCGCTTGGGAGGAAGTTCGGAGCCACCAATATGCCGTGTACTCTCCTCGCTCATCCCTGCTTCCTGGGCAGAGCATGTGTGGAGTTTTGGATGGGCGAGGGGAGAGAGTAGCTAGGAAACTTGACCAGGTCAATACCCAACATATGCTCCTGGAAGTTGTCCTATTGGAGGGAGAAGATCTCCCTCTTGAAGGGAAGCATGTGGTGTGGGCACGGTGGCCTCCCTTGGCCCCTTTGGCCTTTGCCATGGCTCCTGTGGGAATGTTGGAAGCCATACCTGGCTGCTTGTCCGCCTCAGGGGCTGGAAGTCCTTGAGGTTCAAGCCTCGGTGGGGCTGGAGGAGGCAGGCACTGGGGCCCCTTCATCAGTTGCGATTTCTGAATCTGCATCTCCTCCTCAGCCTCAAACTCCAGGAACCTGGGGGTGAAGGAGGCCCAGGCTGTGCTGAGAGGGTCCAGACCCCCTTTCCCCAGGACCAGGCAGCGGCCGAGGGCAGGGATGGGAGGAAGTGCCTCCGGTGGACTGTCCAGGCCTTCACTAGGTGCCATCCCCCAGTCCCAGGAGGGAGCTGCTCCCAGAGTTCTGGGCTCACCCTCCCTCACCCGGCCCCTGCACAGCCCATGGCATCAACGGGGCTTCCTGACTCAAGTCAGGGCCACGATGTCCAGGAGGGTCCCAGGGGATCCCTCCTCCAGGTTTCAGCTGGCCAGGGGTGGGGTTGATGGCAGAAGGTGTCAGGGATGATGCCCAGATGCAGGAGTCCTGAGGTTGGGACTGTGGACCCCTCAAAGATAAGCCAGGGCCACAAGGCCTGGGAGACCAATGATCAGGAAGAAGCACAAGCTGAGCCCAGAGGACAGGGCCCCTTTCCCCTGAGGCTGCTGTCTGTCTGTCTTCATGGACAGGACTGCCCAGGAGCAAAGGCAGTCAGGCCAGAGATGGGGCTCATGGTGTCCTGGGCATAGGTCTCCCCGACCCAACTCCCTGGTCAGGCTGGGATGGGAGAAAACTGACTTCTGGCCACTGCTGTGAGGAGCCTGCACCCCACTCTTGTCTATAGTCACTAGCACCCCTTCTCGCCATCCCCACAGCTGGAGGTGACCCACTTTGGGCTGCGATGCTGGCTGCTCCCGCTATGACCTCCAGTGTCAAGGCAGGGGTAGGCCCCAGGCCACGCAGGGCTGCTTCCCAATAGGGCAGCACTGAGACCCCAGAGCACTCTAGGTGGTAGGAGCAGCTTCCTGAGGGAGCCAGGGGCCCAGAGCGTCTTGTGTTTGTCCACATCCTCCTCATGCTCCACGCTGAGAAGCCACCACGGCCACCGGGCCTCTGTCATTCACTCTCACCCTGCCATGTGGGCCCTGCCCCCAGGACCCCAGACTCACTTTTCTGCCATCTCGTAGAAGATCATCCGGTCAAAGTTGCTTGTGTGCTGCCATTCCCGCACGGCCCGCCACAGTCCCTCCTCCAGGTTCATGGTGGGCTTCCGCCGGGCCAGGGATCGGAGAACTGGGCTGTAAACCAGTGCAGTCAGTCCCAGTCTATAAGCCCACCATTCATCCCAAGCCCACCTGGTCCCAATACCTGGTCCCTGTCCTCCCCACACCTGTCCTGCCATGTCCCTGTCCTGTTCTCCCCCATGTGGGCTCCTCAGGCCCCAGGACACGACTGCAAGATCAAACATCAACACAAGCTACCAAGTGGCCTCTCCGACTGCCCCTCAGGTCCTCAGTGTTGAGAAGTGAACTCAGTACTATGGGTGGAACATGTGTGCCCCCAACATTGCTGTGCTGAAGCCCTCAGGGCCAGTGTGTCAGTATTTGGAGGCAGTCAGGGTCAGAGCAGGTCATGAGCGTGGGTCCCAGTCATGGAATCGGAGCCCTGATAAGGCCAGGAGGAGACGCCAGAGCTCTTCCTCTCAGCCACAAGGGGACACAGCCAGAGGCAGCTCTCTCCAACCAGGAAGAGGGCCCTGACCAGACACCCAATCTGCTGTCACCTTGATCTGGGACTTCTGGCCTCTGGAACTGGGAGACATGAATGTGTCTTGATAAAGCACCCAGTCTATGGGATTTGTTACGGCAGAGCCTGAGCTGACTGAGACAGCGTGCACACAGAATGACCTGGGAGCGAGGGTTAAAGTGCAGGTTTCAGGGCCCCAGGACTGAGTATTTAACCAGCTTCCTGGGAACTCTGGAGTAAGGCAGCCCCTGGGGACGCAGCCTCAGGGTCCCGGAGCATGAGGAGCAGGAGCACACGTCCAAAACCAAAGCAGAGCCGTGTCCAAGCCCACTGCAAGCAGCCAGGTACAGCTTCCCACATTCCCACAGGAGACATGGCAAAGGCCTGTGAACCTGGGGCAGCTCCACTCCAAGAATCAGGGTCCCCAGTGCACCGGGACTCCACTCCAAGGGGAAATGCAACCAGTTCCAGGGTGCGGGGGCAGTGAGATTGTTGGGGATGAAGATGGGGTCACCTTTCACCTACACCCCAGGCAGGGAACTTCCCTGGGGGAATGGCCAGTGTGTTGCAAGGTGGATGTGCTCAAGCTCCCGTTTGCTCATC